TTTTTTCTTTCTTTTCACAAACATATCCCCCATTCTACAAACCCCCAATCTCAAATTTCCCCCAACCTAACCCTCCCCCTTCTCTCTTCTCTTCTCTTCTCTACATAACCCCATACTTAATTGAAGTGTATTCTTCCTTCCTCTTCCCAACCCAAATCCCCTCAAGCTCCCTTCATGTAAGTGCCATGATTTTCCCTCTTAATTTCTTTTATTTTCTTTTCTTCTCCTTGACTTGTAGAGATTTTGTTGAGTTATACCTGTTTTGTGTTGGGGTACTAGTTAAATATTACCATGATGGGCTGGGTGTGTCATTGGTGGAGTTTTGTCCAAATTGGGGGATAAAGATTTATTGTTTGGGAGTTTGGGTGAACTAGGTACATCAGGTGTTTGTTTAAATGCTCCTATGAATTTGAAAATCTAATTTAGTGACCAAGTATGCTGGTGAAGTCTGAGTAGCCACCCTTGGGTCACATATCATGCTTTTAGCTGATGTTGGTGTTTGTTTCAGGTATGACACCATCCAAGAAACGAAGAGCCATAGGTGCCTCCTCCAGTGGTCAAGCTGGCTCATCCCGGCCGCGAGTTTTTGCAAATTCTCGCCCGTTTGATAATACCAAGTTTGTATCCAGTGCCGCCCAAGATCGCTTCTGTAAAAAGTCACCGAAGAAACCTATTCTGGAGAGGAGAATTGATATGGGGTCCCTCCAAAATGACTGCCCAAACATGTATCATGAATTAGTCCGGCGAGGGTTGGGAATATTGTTTGAAGAACCAGACAAAGCAAATTTGATGGTTGTTCGGGAGTTTTATGTAAACTGCCCGGAACATGTTAACCATGTCTACACTGTTCGAAAGAAGAGTGTGGACGAGTCTATAGAGGCCATTCGGAGGGCCTACCATTTGCCACTGTTTGGGGAAAATCCTGATGCAGAAGACTACTATGACACATACAACAGGAAACCACCCACGTGGGAATTATTCTTCAGAACAATTTGTGTGACCAACAAGGAGGTAGTGTGGCTTACACCGGGGCGAAAGTTTCATTCGGCATTGCTGACCTTTGAAGGGAAGTGTTGGGTCCACATAATAAATAGCCGCCTGATGCCGTCCTCCAATACCACTGAGGTGAATAGTCCCTAGGCTGCTCTGATCTGGTGTTGTCTCAATGGCCACGATTTTGATGTGGCTAAGATTATTCATGGTGAAATGTTCATTTGTTGTCCTGTACAAAGGTATGGTTTCTTCTTCCCATCCTTAATCACAAGGTTGTGCCGTCAGGTACGTGTACCTGAAGACAGAGACTTGGATGGGAAAGTGAAAAGAGAACAAAAGTTCTGGCCTGATAAAGTAATAGTTGGGAAGAACCCTATTGGGCCTGTTGAGGCAAACAATGATGAGTCTGATGCACCAGAAGAGGGTAATGAAGTGCAAGATGAGGATGTGGCTGCTTCACCACCACATGAGTAGGTTGTTGAGGGAACCTCAGTCGTCCGATGGGACACAAGAATGAGCGCATTAGAGCAGGAAATGGCGGGGATGCATACTTCTGTCACAGACTTGGGAGGTCGAGTAGATACCCTGC